TGAGTTTCATCTTTTCTGGCCCAGCGGTTCTGGAGAAGAAGATTTTTTAAAAATGCCATTAATTTTTAACAAATTCATGATTATCTCCCCTTGGAAAAGGGCGTGGCCCTTCATTTGAACAAACTTGAATCCCCTTCACCCAAGATACTTTGTGCCAAGTTTGGTTGAAATTGGCCCAGTGGTTCTTGAGAAGAAGATGAAAATGTGAAAAGTTTACGACGACAACAACGACAACAACAACGACGACGACGACAGACAACGGACAAATTTTGATCAGAAAAGCTCACTTGAGCCTTCGGCTCAGGTGAGCTAAAAAGAAGACAAATACTGAGTAAATTATGCAAACCCTTATGCCCAGCTTTAAATCTATGGCTTTCAAATTTATTTTATTTTTGATAAGTCACTTGCCTGCAGGCAAGTGGATGATAAAATTTCACTTGTCCACCCCTAAAATTCACTTGCCCCAATGGCCCGAGCGAGCGTTGGGCAATGGGATTTGTCATCCCCTGTATGGTACCTGAGTTTGCTAATATTCTTCTAGATACAAACCTGTGTTGTCAGCGCAGTTGATGACTGCGCCTACAGGTAAAGCTAGGGAGATACGGAATTTCCCTCCGGCCGAACCACCACGACCTGAAACAGCAGAAATGTAGTTACTTCAATGAATGTTCATGCAATTAGCATTCAATGTAATATAAAACAGAGAACATACTCATAATTTATACTACTACTAAGCCTACTGTTATAATTATCATATGTTGGTCCCTGATATATTCACCTCATTCATATACAACAAACGTATACCTACATAAACAGGGTAATGACAACATGGTTCATTTCAAAGTTAAAACACTGGATCACCATGATTACTGGTTGTTATAATATAACCCCCTCCTTCCCCTCTATCTAGTCATCTTCCGACTTGCCAACCATCAAAAGAATACATTTGTAATGTTTTTGTTTATATATGTAAATATGCTACAGTTGTTAATAAAATAGGAATATTATTTTTGTTTATTTGATAAGCCCTAACCATGGTACCTGATTAGCACCCTTATCTTGGAAGTCTAATCAATGTCCTAATTAATATGGTGCTTATCAGATGCTAAATGTATCAAGTGTCTTGACACCTAACAATGGTGCAGAGGCCCTAATACTTGGAGCCGATTGCCCTAATAGGCGCCCTAATGATGGAGCCGATTGCCCTAACAGGGTGCCCTAATGATGGAGCCTAACGCCCTAAGTAGGTGCCCTAAATCACGTTAGGTGTCAGACAGGGTATATAAGGAGGAGTTAGCGAGTTGATATACTTTGCTTGTACTGGATTGTAAACTACGTTTGGATATTATTAATACACTTGATGAAACAAACTTTGTCGTTGTTCTGATGTTAGATCTATAAAAATCTAAAGTTCCTATCTTCTACACGGGATCCACAATATTTTGTGACGCGGGTAGAAACAAACACCCCATAAAGAGAAAAACGTTACACATTGTTTTAATACAGAATATTGCCAGTTAGAAGACGATCTGGTTTACAAACACTTTCACAGTGATGCACCAAGAGGAAGGAGAGGGGATCATAACTATACATCCACATTTGAGCTCGATAGTTTTATGTTTACATTCGTCAAACGATTTGTATATTGAATATCTCATTTATTTTGTGGTATCTAAACTATTTGTATGTAGGGAAAGAAATTAAAACTTTTGATCTACATTCCATTTACGGAACATTGTAATTTTAACTACATGTTTGTCGATGACGATGGATATAGTTCGACACAGGCGAGTTTTCATACCTCTCTTAGACATATTGTATTTTCAAAGGAAGTACCCACAGAGCATGCGCGTTCAACATCTCGAGCCCGAAGCAAATTTGGTTTGCTATTTTACAAGTAAAAGGTGGGATTTGGTCTGTGAATATATTTAATTGTCAATGCCTATATAGATTGAAAATAGATTCCAAATTGATATAATTCTCATCTTAACAATCTCTCTCTCAAAAAAAAAAAATTGCAACGGAAAAACCTTTGCAGATCTCAAAATTCATAATTTTTCCTTGGAAGACGGTATTGTATAGTTGAAGTTTTTTAACTTCGTATGCACTTCCTCTCTTTTGTGATTGGTATATAGAGAGAGGGAGATAACTTTCTGATGAGAGAGAACAATTTTGAAGATTTTCAATCTTAAAAAAATGACAAAACGTTTCAAGTAATTATTCCTAATAACATGATTTTTTGTAAGCAATAAATAAAAAGATCTCTTTAATTTAATTATAAATAAAATTTGATTTTAATTGCTTGCAGGCTTTACAATTTGTTATTATTCTTTTTTTTTGTTTGAAGAAGGGAATGGGAACAGTTTGTTTAGGGCTAATGCAAAAAAGTAATGTAGAAATACAAAATCAAGAAATTCACAAGAATTATACGGCCTGATAGGTGTAGATCAGTTTACTGTTGAAGATTGTTGCTAAAGACGGTAAGCTTTTTTAAAAAGCTCTACTTGTTTTGGATTAACGTTAAATATAGAGAGAGAGGGAGAGAGAGAAAAAAAAAGAAATGTTTCAAATTATTTAAATAGATTGAAAGAGAAATTAGATAGTGTATCCATGGAGGTGTAGTTTATTTATTTTTTTAACAGTGTTTAATGCAAAATACATGTTAGTAAATGGTTTACTATTTCATATGTAAAGGTTGGATTATTTCCAGTACTAAAATATAGATCGGAAACGGAAAAAAAAAAATACAACGTAAGTTCTAAATTGAGATAATTTTCATCTTAACAATTTGTCAATTATTTAAGTAAACCTATCCAGTCTTCAAAATTCTTAATTTTGGATAAACGTGTAGGCTACTTTAGAAAAAAAAAATAATTGAATTGTTTTAACATACACGCTGTAAGTGGATAAAAGAAAACTGCGGTGTGTCCCAAGAGGTATAGATACTACTTGTTTATTACCATTATCAGTGTTCAGTGAAAAAAAATCGAATTATATGCATTTCTTTTATATAAAGAGAAAAAATATATATAAATTTTCTTCTTGCATAGCACAATTTAAAAACAGAGAGGATATTCATCCATAAAAAATCGTAATCGAATAAAATGTTATTTATATAACCATGTCTTACTTCTGTTTGATGTAAATAGGAACTCCCATGGTTTGTGGTTGGGGGTTAATATATTGTGTGTTTTTATCTCAAGCTTTGTTGATGGGATGAAAACGCGGCACTAACTTAATTGTCATCGAGTTGGGCAAAAAATCATGTATTACGACAAACAATTGTTTTACAAACATAAAGCTATTTCATTTTTACATGGTTACTATATATTAATATATGTAAAACCACAGTTTGACGATTTTAATTCAGGCAAAAACAATCGTGACGGTAATATGTAGATCTGAAACATATTCTACAAACCATACATTATTCATCGATTAAAAGAAGAAAACATATATTTCATCAGAATTAAGTTAAAACTTCAAATCTACAATTTGGATCTATATATAAATAATTTTTTATAATTTCGGGTAGATCTATATTGTACTTCGAAACATGGATTTTATACTTGTACTGTCAACAGCTAGGGAATTTCTTGATTAAGTGGTCAATTTTGACATTTTTCGCCTATTTGTAATGGTTCTATAATTAAAAGTCCTAGCTAGTGGATACAATTGATTTTAAAAAGACGATCGAGTCAGTAATATTCAATTAAACACTAAAACTACTATTGAGAGAGACGGGGGGACTGAGTTGTGTGAAGTATGTCTTGTAGACCGAAATATATCATTGAATGGGGGTAATATTTCTAGAAAGACATCGTGCATTTCCTTAAAGGTACTTGGACACAGATTTGAAGTTATTATTTTTTCTATAATACTACGACTTATATATTTTAATAGCATTTCACACAAAAATTAATTAAAAATCTTATTTCGTTTAAAAGATATTGAAATTTCAAATTTTTCGGCGGGTTTGATTGACATATCCTTGCACTCTCACAAATTTAATTTTATTCTTAATCCTTAGGAAAAGTGGCAATCTCGTTTTGTATAAATGAAAAATATTAATACTATAATCCAGAAAATTCAGAGTAGACACGTTCGAAAGCAAAACAAACACACAGTATATTGTCAGTCCGTGCAGTTGTGGTAAGTAGACTGTGACGATTGAACGCACCCGGTGAATTCTAAATATAAACAATAACAGAACTCGAGCCCTGTTTACAAAAACTGTGTACATAACACGAGTGTGCTCGATTTGCTAAAATCTGTACGCATCTCTTAGTTCGGAATGACGATACTTGTGAAGATGATTTGCTTTCTAACATTTCTACTCTGAATAAAATTATTTTTCTTGATAAAAGTTTTAGTATTTCTCATCAATACACAACAAGATTGCCACTCATTAAAACACATCAAAATTACCACTTTTCCTTAGGATTAAGAATAAAGTTAAAATTTGTGAAAATGCAAGGATGTGTCAATCAACCCCGCCAAAAAATTTAAAGTTTTAATAACTTTTAAATGAAATAAGATTTTTAATTAATTTTTGTGTGAAATGCTATTTAAATATATAATTAATACCAATCTTTATGCCATTTTATTCATTTGCTTAAAATGCTTCAACCTGGAATTCAAAGTGAAAAATTACTTGTAAATAAATTAATCGTTCTACTTTTAATATTTATTTATTGAAAATTTCTTGATAGGGATGTTAAACAATATTTTTTAAAAGACTTCTATTTTTCGTGTTTTGATATCGTCCATATCATTGTTGTCTCTCTTGGCGAAAATACGGAGGAACATTCGCGTTGACAGTACTATATAAAATCAATGGAAAACCTTAGAATTGTTGTGAAATTATAATGCCTACTTTCAGAAAAGTTATTTATGAGAGGAAATTCAAAAAAATGCACTTATAGTATTTGTGATGTGAGAAGAGACAAACTTTAATCGTTATCCCGAATATCATGATGTGACAGTTCATAAGTTCCATAGTCCCGCGTATTCTGACATCACTTCCGCATTTGAAAAGGCCTCAAGTATCACACAAAAATATACCTATTTGGAAGTTGGAAGTAAAGCAGTGTGTTATTAATTCTAATCGAGAGTTTTAATTAATGTGATTTACTGGACTAACAGAAACAATGAGTAAGAAGTGCGCAAAGTGCGAGAAGACGGTTTACCCGACAGAGGAGCTCAAATGCTTGGACAAGGTCGGTGATTTGAATTTTGATGGCTTCTGTGGGTACAGTAGGCCCTCTACCCTTGTTTTGTTGTATATTGCATGCGTTTTAAAGTGGAATGTCAAATTTATTTTATTTTATTTTTTGTTTATGACATGTGATGTGGAATATTAGTCTTCCACATTTCTGTAATGCTGCTACTGTTGAAAAATGGGCGGGACCTTTTCACAACTTCTTGTTTTGGTTTAGTACCACATGCATGCTGATAGAAAATATACATTGAAATGTTTTTTAAATATATTTTTTATTTAATTTTCGACCAATTTTATTTATCATGTTTATCCAGTGGGAATATGGAAAACCTCAGATACTATCATATTTTGACAATCAGGATGTGTTTATAACTGTGTTGATAATAGATATTTGAGGTTAATACATTACTATATTTGGCATGTTTGCATTGATTTGGGGAAGATTTAATTTATTTTTAACCTGACATCAACATGATCAGAGATGTCATGTATTTGTCTTTTGAATGTGTTTAACTTGAAGTATGACATAGGACGTTGTACATGTACTGTAGTACTTAATGAATCCTTGTTTATTTCATTACAGCTGTTTTTTAATGTTCATGTCTGTTGAATAATATTTTTTCTGGTGTGACTCTTGTGGGTGACTTTAAGTATCCTTGAATTTTAACAAACACATGCTTATTTCGAGCGTATTCTTTGAAATAATTTAAATATGTATTACTGTACAAGAGAGTATCTAAGTATGTGCATTGTTAAATGCACCTTTTGTATATTAATTTTAATTAAATTGGGTCACAATAGCTCTACAAGGAAAATGATATTAGATATATTTTGTGTCTGTTTTTGGTACAATAAATTTTTATGTTTGATGAAATAATGAAATCCGCATGTGATTTTAGAGTAAAAAAAAAACATAATTCAGATTTTCCAGTGCATAATTGCTCAAATGTATAAGGAGTAAAGTGGGCAACAAACACTTAGTACACACTTTAGGCATAAGTGCTCCACTGTGTGTTACATAAGACATTAGTATTACCATAATAACTCTCCTGATAGGATAAAGAAAGGAAGTGGACACTCTAATTATAATCTCTGCTGTATTCTACACTCGTAAATATCAGAAAGAGAACAAAACATAAAATTTCACTTCCTTTTTTTTTTCTCTTATTTTTTCCCCCTCTTTTGACATTTTTTGCCTCATTTGATCAATGCAAAGATTGCTAATTGAAAACCATAAAATCATGCAATGAAACATTTTGAAGTATATGTAGTTGTCAAATGTTATTTTGTGTAAGTACCTTTAATAAGTAAATCCTTCTGGATTCTTTAAAAGATTTATATATTAATTTTATATCAGCTATGCATAGTATGCAGCATGTGTTCACAAATAGATGTCAGTTGACTATAGTACTTATGTTTTCCCACCTAAAACTGGTCAAACATGCCAGAGTAATTAACCTGTACATGTTAACAACGTGTTCATAATTAATGGCATGCATGTTATCCTATTTTAATGACCTACATTTTGCTGAAGATGTTACAAATGTCATTGATTATCTTAATCTGAATATTGATGGCCCACCTACTGGCCATCAGCAGTTGTAGGTAACTTATTGACAACTGAACTGTGTCAGTAAAATGCTTGACTGAACATACACTCATTGGCGTTGACCAGATTTGGACAGATTTTCGATAAGCCCAGTCGATGACTGAATGGTCAACTATGTGTTGATCACATTTGCTATTGACAGATCTTTTGTTTTGGAATGTTTACTAAGAAAAGGAATGCAAACATTTGGACTAATTATAAACAGAGGAAATAGCAGATCACACCCCCTTTCCAAGCCTGCAACAGCTTAGTATTTACTTAGTTTAACAAAGCCCAGTTTATCTTATCTACCCTGTAGATAATAAAAAGACAAATCTCTGACCTACTATCATCACAGGGCGTTAAAACGTTAGAAGAATACAATGTTTAAATTTCTATTATAACACATACAATACATCTGTCATATGAAGCAACTTTGGTACATGTTACCTACATAAGGTTCACAGGCAGTTTTTAAGTGCCACATTATTACTATTTTTTAACTTCATGAGGTAACTGGACCAGTGCAGATTTAAATAAAAATGAATTGTAAATTTTATTTTCTGTTTGTATTTGAAGCATATCTGTGTCTTATTAAAGTATACCTGTATGTATTTTTAAGATAGCAAAGACAGGTAGAACAGGTCTATAACAGGTACAGTATATAATATTTGACTGCAGCTCAGGTGAACCAGATCAGAGCTTGCTTTGAGAGGTCATGACAGGTGTTTAAATTTAAGTCAGCTGCCGAGATTCTGTGGAATTTAATTGTAGATATTGATTAATTTTCAGCCCCATTTATATGCATGAGTAGCCTTCGTACCTTTTACCTATTATGGTCATAGTGTAAACTGTATAATGATTCATTAAGGCATATCTTAGGGAAAATGTCAAAACTTGATATTTGCCAAAAATACAACGTTCTCACATGAATTTAATTTAATTTTTTTTGTTAGGAAAATAAATTGTAACATATGTCTGAAGAAAAATGCAGGATTAGTTTTAAATGTAAAACAGAGTAGTGGGTTTTGTAAATCTACAAATAAACTGCGCAGTGCTTGAAGAAGAAGTAAATTAGGTTAAGTACTTGTATAAGATGATGAACGGTATACGTGTATGAGATGCATTTCTTACTCTAGGTACTTCACAAAGCAGGAAGTGAAGAAAACTATAGTGGTGTTAGAATATAAGATCATAAGTACCTCAGTCAGGGCTGGGGGAAATCTAAAAATTTCAAAATCTTGGATCTTGGCCATTGTGAAACAGTCATGAAACAACAATGTTTTGTCTATTTTTTTGAATGACAATGATTTTTTTTAATTCTCTCCAGAAATAAATTATATACTGTAGTTTAAATCACCAGGTTTAGAATGTTTACTTTCTCAAGACCGTATTGACATTGTTTTTCCAGTTTTGTGAATTTTTTTAAGTTTGTTTCCTGTACATAGTAAATGTTCATTTTTAGAATATCTTAAGCCAAGTCCACAGCAGGTAGCAGCATAAATGTCTCAGTGTCTATCTCGTGCAGTGTTTGTGATCCATGGCACAACATATTGATAACTCAAAATCTACCTCTCATTCGGGATGAAGAGCACTCAACAGTTTTAACTGTATTACGATATATACATGAATATTTATCATATGTTTCCACCTCCACAATGTAGAGATTAGATAATAAATAAGGAACCGATTCCTGAGTGTGTGTGGGGGGGGGTTCTATCATTGAACTCTCGACTAAGGAGACTGTGCGTGTGTGTTTTTCTGGAATCTGGAGAAATTCCACCACTTATCTTCTCCTGTATCAGCGTACATCATGTATCTCTTATTGTTCTGCTGTCTACAGCCGTACCCTAAACATAACACAGGAAAACGTAATATTATAGCAGCCTTTAGCAGGGTCAACTTGAGAACTTTTAGATGTATATCACTTTCATAAATTGTATCATAAATGTAGAGTGCATGTAAATACTAAGCCTTTTTCACACCATGCATTCTACATTCTGTAGTTTTGTTATGTCTGTATTAGCTTTGAAAATCTACCATTGTTCATGATGTTAAAGTTTTATTTTTTTTCTGTACAGGGGTAGACATTAACTTTTATTTCCACTTGTCCTTCGGGCAAGTGAACTACAATTTTGACTTGTCCGAATGCAAAATTTGGTTGCCCAAAATTTTTGAAGAAAAAAAACAGTTATTGTACCTGAATTTGTTGTAAATGTAAAAGTTGACAAATTAATCTCTATTTTGAAGTTAACTGCCGGAAAAAAAGTTGATATGATGGTGATGCTACATTTGTAAATGTACATGTATGTAAAACACTTTCCTGTCATTTAACTATCTTGAAAACACACAGAGTACTGCAGGAATATTATTTTCTTACAATTTTTGTTTGAAATTTTAATTTTTCCTGTAAAAAAATGAGGTGAAGCCAGAAGGAAGAGAGTTGTTATTTTTTGAATCAAGATACATCGTGCATCGTAAATAATTGGTGTTCTTCATAATTTATAATTCCTTAATTGGGTAGAGAAAGTATTCTGTAATCTCTATTTTCATAACAAGACTGTAACGTAAGTTGTCAGACAGATTTTAAACTATGAAAGAAAACAGAATAACGAACCCGATTTCTGAAGAAAGGTAAGATCCAGAAACGCTACCGAGGGATTCCGTATGCAACAACAATGTCCCGTTTTTGGCAGAAATGAAGTGTTTAATTTATTGTGTTGTTTATAAACTTATGTGAGATTAAAAAAATGTTTCTATCAGAAATTCCACTTGCCCGATCGGACAAGTACGTTGATAGTTTCACGTGCCCGAACTGAGAATTTACTTGTCCCGGGCAATCGGACAACCGTTAATGTCAATCCCTGCTGTATAGTGTATAGTATGAAAAATCTTGTTAGAGTTGTATAGCATCAGACTAGATATGTATACCTGTTAGAGTTATATAGCATCAGACTGGATATGTATACCTGTATATTACTATATATAATATATGAATCGTATTTCAATAGTTATCCTATGTCCTTGAAGCGAGATGAAGTCATGTTTATTTTGGCTCTCCGTATGTTGTCTCCCCTCACTATTCCTAGTCATGACCTACAGCCTGTTACTACAGTAGACTCTATAACAACTGATGTCAAAGACAGTCCACTGTTAATTTTCTCTGATAATTACGTTATCTGCTGTGAGGATTGGGATTTAAGATTCCCGAGTTTTTTTGAGTCATTGTAAGATTCTCGGCATTCCATCAGCGTAATTCTTGTCTGTACCAATCCTACAACTGACAGAGTCTGCACAAATTACAGATGTTTTTTAAAACTCCTGCACGATTGCTACAGTTATCGTAAACACACAATGGCGAGGGAGGCAGATGATATATGATTGTCAGCTTGCGGAGATGTATTTTCTTGATAGATATATAATTTTCTTGTTTTTCCCCCTTAGAAATGGTCAATGGCCTAAGAAACTCCAAAGTCTTCTTTGTTTGTTTTTATAATTAATGCTTTTTCTATCTTGCTATATATATGTCTCAGTTCTCTAAGTAATTAAGTGTGATTTGATTCTTTCTTGCAGTTTTGGCACAAAGCATGTTTCAAATGCGAGGTTTGCAACATGACCTTGAACATGAAAAATTACAAAGGCTACAACAAGATACCATACTGCAATGTGTAAGTGTTTACGATAACCAGAAATCTTGCCCGAACACACACAGTACTAATAGGATGTTATTCTGAACATTATGCAATGTTAAATTGTTACTGGCATAACATACTTAATACACAAGTTCTAATCTAGTCGTATTCTGTGTCATATTTTGTAATAGTACCATTTATAACAATACAAGGAAGTAATTTCGATTATTGTACATGTATTAAACAATAGTTTGATTCATGATTCGAGTTGATTTGTTACATAATTTGAGTACTACACTATACATATGACATTTGATTATAATCTGCTGTTTTTTTGTAGTCACTACCCCACCACTTCCTTCACTGCTGTAGCAGATACACCTGAAAACCAGAGAATCAAACAGAATACCAAAGTACAGAGTAATGTAAGTATAGAACAGAAATTGTGAGTACTACACAGTCAACCTATACTTGACAGAAGAATTAACAGCTGAATAGAGAAAGACACTCGTAGCTCAACCCAAGACATATAGAGACTTTCCCCCTCCCCAGATCTGTGGCACTGCCATGTAATTCAGAAAATGAGACCCCCTCCCAACAATCCAGTTTAAGAGTAAAGATCACAGGCACTTGTTTCGGAAATAAATTTTTAACCCATAGTATAATAATAACACTTATTTCCGAAACAAGTGCCTGTGGTAAAGATATAAGGAGCACTGACATATCTCAGAAGACCTTCTTTCCTTTTACAATTGAATCTCAGAATATGACTGTATAAATATAGCACTAACATGTACATGATGTATGTATGTCAGAGGTAGTGAGACATTCTATCCCCCCCCCCCCCCCCCCCCCCCCCCCCGCAATGGTGGAATAAGGAGAAAGCATTATGAAGTAGTGAAACCTTCACACACACACACACACACACACCCCCCCCCCCCACTCCAATCTCAGAGTAAGATGTCATTGACATACAGAGTATTTCTTAAAAAAAAAACAGTCAGACCCCCTCCCCCCCCCCCCCCCAACTTTCAAAACCAATCATTTAGTAAACATAAGACAACAATTGACTTGCATCTCAGAAATGATGAGATCCTCCACAATCCAGTATCAGTCAGTGAAAGAAACAGAGGACTGTGTGTATCACTGGTCCCCAGACACAAGAGAATGGAGAGACATCACTCTGTGTTATCACCTGTCACTGTGACACATCTCTGCTGGGAAAACAGAGTCTTCACTCTTGCCACAGACAACAAATAATCTATTTCTGTGATTTATGAAATGCCCTAATTAAAGTGTCTTTAGTGACTTCCTGAAGTGAAGCCAGAATAAGTGCAGTTAGAATTAGCTTGCCATGGTTAGGTCAGGGAAAAGATGGTTCTAATACAGATCATTTCAGTCTGTTATTTTAATACTTGTAAAGATACAGGGCTGTTTGTGCTAGAAAAGAATTTTCAGTGGAATGAATCAAGCCTTCACTTTAGCATGAAGGAGAGCCTAGTTGTGATGTACATTTTACTCGCTAAAAAAGAATGCAGCAGTTGCTCTGCATATTTTTCAAAAAACAAAAATGTCAATATGATTTAGTATACGATTTGATAAGTAATAATTTACTAGACAGTGCTAGACTCAACTTAACAATGAAATTACACAAAACTCTTCATTAAAAAAGATAAAAACTTAATAAAAATGCACTTCATGGTTTGTTTCCAAAGCAAAAGATCTAAGTGAATATTGTTGAGATTTTTCTCTGGAAGAACATATGGTGTTCCATTTTTTTTTTGGGGGGGGGGGGGGGGGGGGGGGGATACAACATTGATGCAAAAAAAGAAAAATTTTCAGGTAAACCAGTTTTGATAATTATCTTCATCACTGCATCATCTGTTTTCATTGGAAACTTTTCCAAGTGATAGAATAGATTTCAGTTGCTGGCAAAGAGCATCAGTATCTATAGGGGTCTGTGATAAACACATACCTCAGGGGGCTGCTTATGATTTCTCTAATCAGATTTAGCTGTTATATTGTTTATTAATTTTCCAGGCAAAGAATTCTTTTTTATTTATTTCCTGACACAGGTTTTAAATATAATTCTTTTGACTGCCAGGACTTGAGGTTGCAAATGAGTTGGGTTTCGTATTGTGTAGTGCACATGTTCAAAGCCTAGGTTAAACATGTTAAAGACAAAAAAAAATGTACATCTATATTTTTAAAACGTGTGTTTTGAAGCTCTAAATCAAAAACATTCAGTGATTTATATAGATTGGTGGTTTAGAGTATTCCCTCTCTGATGAAGGAAACATATTAGATGTATTTTATCTGTTATGTCTGTCTGTCTGTTCACACAAACACACATAGTGATCACAATGAAGGGAAAATACTTTATTATATATAGGCATTTTTATCTGTGTTTGCAACTTTGCATCTTACAAAAGTTTCCTAATCCTAACCCTGCTATAAAAGAATTCGCTGGTGTGAGTTATGAACATGGAAATAATATAAAAGTTAATTACCAGCTTTATATAATGTGCTTTGGCAAATGAAAATCAACAGCTTGAATGCCAGTGCTTCCTTATAAGATTGATTTTCTTAAGCTAACCTCTAATTGAATTGTATACTTAAGATACACCAAGGAATTTTTCTATTGACTTGTATCTTTTATTAATGTACAAGTTGGTATTCCCGTAACAGGTCCAATATCACAGCGAATTTGAGAAACAGAAAGGAGCTTACACACAGGTCGCCGATACCCCCGACATGTTACGCCACCAGCAGAACACCAAAAATATCAGCCTGGTATATCTATAAATATATCGGCACGTGTAGTCATATTAGTTACCTCCCCTACGTGATGCTCTCCTGTGTTTGGGAGATATACCTCGAATGTTGTAGAATTCAGTTGTTGCAAGACCAGTTTGAAGTTTTTGCATTCATATTGAATGATTTGCAATTAAATATTGTTGTTTAACTAACATTTTATTGCATGTACAGGTCAATCAAAGCGGGCATTTAATGTCCACTAGTTTGACATATTACAGATTGTTTGAGCTGTTTCTACTCAAAAGTTGAAGCCAATATTGACAGGACACAACTCAGATTATTGTTATGTGATGATGTTTGTAAAAAAAATATCTCATTACAGCAATAGTGAAAATGTAATTGCACACTGGTGTGTATAGGAAATTTGGTTGGTCATGACTTTCCTCATTACATTTACATGACACCTTTGTAAAAAGAAGGAAGCTATGGGTTAAAGGGAAGTCAGATGAAAGGCACCTGGCCCTACCTTATATTTCCCCGTCAATTTCCTGTCAACGAATTAAAATTCAGAGCATTGTTCAGCTGTCCTTACCAATAAAGTTAACATACCAATCACTAGATTGAATATATCCATAAAAGTACATGTTTATTTTATAACTATATAATTCTACTCATTATTGGGCTACAAGCATGATAGATAAACATGGTAAATAGATTAGAAATGAACAAGATATTAGGACTTACTGATATACATATATATATATGTAATTTCAAACCATCATTTTAATCTTTATGAAGTCTTTGTTGATCATCATGCATGTGTCATTCATAATAACATCTTGATGCATTTTTCGAATTTTATGAGCATTAATGAACATTTATATGAGAAAAAAAATCAACATTCCTCAACCAAAATTTTACCACAAATTAGGAAACATCATTAAAAAGTAAATGGACTGTGTAACTTTAAGGAAATGGAATAAAGTGATTCTAGGGTTTTAAAAAGTTTTTAAAATATTGTTATGGCATTGTTGACTTCAAACACTTTTAAGTCTATGTAAAGAAATATTGGATTGCAATTCCCCCAAAAAAGAGCTTGTAAATTAGATTTGTTTGTTTCAAATAAATGAATTTACCTTGCAGAGAAGTTAAGCAACATATATGCTACTAAACTGAGTTCTTTTCCATTATTTTTATGGAATTTTTAAACTAATACAGTTCTTGCATGATATTTTCATCTAATCTGTTAAATATACAAATGATGTTTTATAAAAATGCATGATGCATACATGTATGTAAAACTAAACAGATGTTAACGTGTATAAACTAAAGAATTCAGTAATTTTCAAACTGATATTAACAAGCGAGTTACATATTTTGAACTTGCAGTGTTCTGATATAAAAATTTGATAACCACATTTCTTTTGTTGAACCATGATTGTGTAGAGATGTTTTGTTTGAGGTGCTCTGTTTTTTAATGACAGATAGAATATCATCGAAATTTCGAGGAATCCAAGTCCCAATTCACTTGTGTTACAGATACACCAGTCATGAAAACACAACTCACCAATACCAAAAATGTCAGCTTGGTAATGTCTGAGAGTGTTTGAGCGGCATTTCTCTTAATCCCAATTTTGTGTCACTGATTTTATTTTTAATCAACAATAATATGCCACAGGTTTTTATTTTTTTTTTAAAGATGTGTGATAATGAGTAACTGGTAACCCTATTCTTAAAGTTTAATCAAACCTTTAATATTTAAATTCTTGTGTGTGTGGTTTTTCTTTTTGTTTAGATTGAGTACCACAAGGATTTTGAAAAATCCAAATCTAAATATACCCAAGTAGCTGATAGTCCAGAGATCCAAAAATATCTCCAAAACACCAAAAATATTAGTTTGGTATAAAACCAAGCATGGAAATCCAGCCTCCACATTGTTTATTTCCTCTGTTTGTTCATACATGTGTACCACTGTGTACAAGTCATTCTTCTGTGAAAAGTTGATTTTTCCTGAAAGCACTTGTGTTGCGGTATTATTGCAGGCAGCCCCAAACCTCCCAAGTACTTTGTAAAAATCTTCCTGTGTCAGTTGCAGCAAAAAAAATGCTTTGCTTAGCATTTTGAAAGAAAAAGTATCTCCAAGCTTTGAAGTATTAGTTACAATGATATGAAGTAATGGTTTTAAGGAAGTACACTCAATTTAGGCAAAAGTAAATGTCCTTTGAATGAAATCTTTGAAATGGAGTTTATGAATTTAAAAGAAATTGTACATAAAGATGATGGCAACAATTGATATAAAGTTTTCACTGAAAAACTCATCCAATTGTACATTATCAAAATAGAGTATTGTCTTGCCATTTCATGGTGACCTACTTAATCTTTAGATTCAATATCAGAAGGACTTCACTGATTCCAAAGGGAGTTGTTACCAGGTCCCCGATACTGTAGAAATGTTAACGCACCGGCGTAACACAGAGAATGTCAGTCGGGTAAAGTACGCCAAGTTAGCATGCCGCGTGTGGTTCAAAACCAGAATCGTGCAGTTCACAAACAGAATTTGTTCTGCTGCAGCAGTTATGACTGAAGAAAGTTTTACAGTTGTTAAGCATGAGTTTCCTTTGTGGTAATTTTTTGTAAAGTGCCACATTTCAGGAATTTTATCATAAAATGTCCCCCTTTCCATCTTTGGTGGTATTATTTTAGATTCCCTGATTTGGTATATGGCCTGATTTTTTTTAGGACCATCAGGGAAGCATGAGTTCCCAATTGTCCTCTGTACCTGAGTGATACCCCAATCTTACTGTTTATTGCAGAAAGTTTGTGTCCTGAATATTTGGACTAATGGTTCAGGGGAAAGTGTTTGTTTTGTTTTCATTTAAACAGTTCTTTGAGTCTAGATTGAACAAGTTTGCAATGAGATTTGAAACACTGTGGATTTTTACTTAGCAGTAATAAGGACACTGCACACTGTGACTGCATGTGTACCAAGTGTTCTACACAACACAGATACTAACAAAATGCAGCATCAGATGTGTATTAACTTCATAAAAATGATTTGTGTGTTATTTAGAGTAGCTTTTCTCTGCTTACTCAAATGAAAGTACAGGTTGCTGCAGTGGTAAGAAAACAGGTATCAAAAGTGGAAATCTGTTATATGAACAGTTAATGTAGAAAATTCATTAAAAAAATCAAACAACAAAAATTTTATGACCAGCTTTATACATTAAAATAATTCTCATACATAAATAATAATAGATCATAAACCATGCCCTTATTTTATATGTACAGATCAAATACCATGCTGACTTTGAGAAGATGAAGGGTAAGAAATTGACGGTAGTGGATGACCCAGAAACCATGCGGATCAAACAGAATACAGCCATACAGAGTCAAGTAGAGTACCACAAGGTCAAGGACCAGCTTAACGAAATGGAAATACGGCGCCCAGACCGAGAGGCTAGAGGTAGGGCCACCAGTTAACAGGAACCAGTTTTTAGAGGTGTTCTTTACCCCATACACATTTTTGATTTCACAATTAATGCACAATTAAATATCACAGAGTGATTTCATACCCAGTGAATAAAACTTTCCCCAGAACTTGTTGTACAATCTTTAGTTAACTTGTACAATGTGCATTCAGAAAGTAGAATAAGCTTTTTAAAAAATGCTTACAAAAAATGAAATTTCTGATGAAATGAAATTTTTGAATACATTTTTTTTTTTCAATTTGCTTGCTTGCTCTTTTTATAAAACTAATATTCAAGATGAGCTGGAATTTGAAGTAGGATTTGGTATGTTCTCTACTGTTATATAAAGGATCAGCATCTACATGTATTGTCATAGTCATATCAAATGACTTCTTCATTCAGACTGTGCCTCATGATTACACAGACTCTGCACAATCTACTCGGAATGCCTCTGACTTTCTCATTTACATGCATGCTATTCTCTCTCCATGCTGACTTTTTAGAGGGTCCTGCTCGTCCCCAGCCTGGAAAAATTAGCAATTACGAACCCGAGACTAACACCGGAGGCACCCCCTACTCAATGAGAAACTCCCAAGCCCGCGTTGTTTACGACTCTAACATCGGCAAAGGTGAGTTACCCCCATTGTCCCTTATTATACGCTAGCTGCTCAAAAGCTTATATGTGTGAGAAAAAAATTAGTGAAAAAAAATGTTAGAAATTGAGCATGAGAAAACAATGATAGGTTCACTGATTGAATTTTTGAAAAAAATCTAACATTGTGCTTTTTCTAACTCTCTCTTTGCAATTTCAAACAATTTTAACTTTTAGCAGAATTTCACATTGTTTTGGCACTGTTTTCTGACACTTAGACATACATTAGAGTTTACATACACAGTTAAAATTAGTTACATGTTGTTCTTTGTTTATTTTTTCAATCACTAGATGAAGGTACACAATTTTCAAATTCTTTTCCAGTAGCTTGGTGCATTTTAGAATTAGCTGGCATGCTACTGGCATGACTTTAGTAAACATGCAATCTGACATGGTTAGGATTCTGTTTCTCTCAGTGTCCCTTATTGCAGTGATTACCCCCCCCCCCCTCCCCCTTTCCCCCATTGCTTTTATCTTATCTTTTATCAGATACATTGTACATGCATTTAAGTACTTATATTAGATCTACTGTTTCTTTCTAAACCTGTTTGTGTACTAGGTACTTATTGGTGAATACATGTAGGTGATTAAATAGCAAAATAAGCATGACTTTGCAGAAATTGTCATATTATAAACTCACCATAACCACATGCTATGTGAGTGCTTGAATATTTAAGCAATTTAACTATTTGTTTGATACATGTATGTATTTGTAATATATATATTTTTATTATACTTAAATTTACAAAAAATCTAAGCATTCTTCATGTTTTTTTTTCAAAGATTAATATAGATTAATTGTCATTAGAAAAGTACAAAGCCCTGACAAATATTTGTACATATAATCTGTAAAAAAAAAAATTTATACTAATTTGATCCAGCAGTGAACATTTTCAAACGAATTTTTTTTTTTACATGTGTTGAAAATGATTTAACATATATTTTATAGATTAAAAGTATTCTTTATTTTTATTTTTATTTTTTTTTTTGCAGTAAACTTTGTACAATTTTTAGTTTTGGACTTGCATTTTAGTGCATATATAGATATACATTTTAGGGAACACTGACAAATTCAAAAAAAGGAGGCCTCAATTGTCCATTTTAAAGATGGATCAGCTGGTACATCTTAAGATTTACAAAGAAATATGTCTTAGATAGACAAAAAATTTAAGTATCTTGTAAACATAAACATGGGAAACTACATGTTAACAATCAACTTTAAATGGTTTAAGTAGTACTGCATGTAAGATTGCATTTTTATTGTACCTTAGCATTGGTGCTATGCATCTGATAAAAGTTAGTGTTTGTTTGTGATGTATATATACACCCACCTGCTTTAACTGTCAATACCTTCCTGGTTTTAAAGGTAGCATATGGAGGGAGTAGTCAGTAGTTGCAGCATTCACCAGGGAGTAGTCAGTAGTTTTTAGTGTACAAGAACAACTGGACCAAAAATAAATATTTAAAATAAAGAAAATTTACTCAGAAATTTTTTTTGTGTGTGTGGAGGGGGGGGGGGGAGTATACTTATATGGTAAAAGATGATAGGAGGATAGCTGTAAAATTGATGAAATGCAATAGAATATTATCCCAGATAAAAAACACAGCAGAAAAAAAAATATTGAACCCATGTCAGAACTACCGGTATTTTAAGTTTGAAAGAAAGTAAACAAATCAGTGAATTGGAAAAATAAAAAGTAGAGTATTTGAATTAGATCAAAGGTTGGCTAGATAAAAATTTGCATGCTAAAATCTTGATAGTATTCTTGATCAAAGACATGCAAGAATTCGAGAAAAAAAAAGAGTGGAGGGCATAACATTGTGACTTGAATTAATCAAAACACCTATCTTGTTAAGTTTTGTGTAATGAACTTTTTCTAGATATGGAAGGTCCAGGTGTTCAAGAGGGTAAGGAGACTTGTATTTTAACATGGAACTGTTTACAAATGTTTACAAATGTACCTCTTGTACATGATTACGATTTGATATTAATGCATATAATGGCTAGTATCTCTTACCAAGAAGGAAAATGTACTAATTCTACCTTTATTTTATTGATTGCTTGAGGTGCATTTTTTTTCCTTACTTATTTACTGATATTACAAATTTCCTTTTTATCTTTTATTTGTATAATTTCTTTTCCCCCATGCTTTTGGTCTGTGGTTGGTTTATGAACTCTCAGCAAGCTTATGATATGACTTTATTTATCTTTTATATTCTGCAGACAGGGATTTGTCAAAATATTCCTCCTCTTTCAATAGTTTTAGTATTGCAAAGATTTCTTAACCATGAATAATTTTGTATCATATGAAATATGTTTGCCATAAAGTAAGTATTGCATGCTCACACAAACATTCAAATGAAATCAGTATTGGGTGATGTTTAAACCATTGGCCTTGGTTTTTTATAACAACTTTAATGGTATAACAGTATTGGTATTATATAAAAAATTTCCTGTATTTATACAGATGTGATTTTGTTTTTCTTTCTCGAATGATATGAATTAGCTCTCTAAACATTCCTTATTTGTTTTATCATCTCAAATATTTCCTTGATTAAATTCTATCAAATCTTCTCTGTTTTAATGCTTATAACTAACACTTTCCACCTTAAGTATAGAAACCCTGGGAATCAGCTGATTCTGTGAGTAATCTGTTTAAATGATGTAATTTTCAGTGGAGGACGTCCCCACGCGTCGGGTCGGGTCAATTTCTGATTATGACCCGATGAACAATCAGTTTGGATCCATCAGCAGATACAGTGGAGGTATGCTTTACTAACATGTAAGCAATGTGTGGGTATCGGTCCCTATAATCACCGTTTTTCCTGTCCTCTGGCACTGGTACTTTTGTGGGTACTGTTTCTCCAATTGTCTGAAAATATATATATACAGAGTGTTTCCTTGTATAAGACAAAGGCCGTAGTCACCAATAGTGATTTTTCAGCTGTAGCTTAATCTCTGCTTTATATTGCCTAGGCTTGAGAATGCCTCTGTACATGAACCAGTCTAACTGCTATTGACATTCATTACTTTTAATAAATACACAATTTCTCCAGCTTTGGGGACATCTATAGCCTGCTGTAATAAGAAACTTTCATCTAAAACCTGCATCTGTATATGTGTGCATATTGAGATTTTTCAATGTTGAAGAAATTTGAATGGTTGAAAATTTGATATTATATATAGCTAACAATGATATAAAGTTTAAGTAAATACAATGTATTGTTTTTTTCTTCACAATGTGATTCTAATTTTAGGAGACCCAGAACCGCCCAGAGGATACCAAGCCCCACCCCCTCAAAGTTACCAGCCCCCTCCCCAACAGAGCTACCAACCCCCTCCCCCACAGCCAGCCATGCCTCCACCCTCAGAAGGGGTAAGATTTAAATCTGAGCTAGCAGTATAACCCCAGAATCATTTCAGTGACCACAACAGAAATTATAGTGAATAAATGTGTATGTTTCAGTCTAGATGTTGGGTACATGTAGATACATTTAGCTTGAGGTCAAGAGACTAACGTTGAGCATGATGCTAATGTTGAGCAAGATGCTTCTATCACTACCTGATTTCAGAGTGAATTATACACTATTGGTCCATCATGCTACTGAAATGCCACTTATAAAGGCACTGTGTTAAGTCTGGGATAACCATGGCTTATGCAGGCAATGTAAATTACTGAATGAAGGGAAACAACTCAAATTTTTTTTGAGGGTGAAATATACTGTATATAAATATTTCGTGTTTGGTAATTTTACACTATCAAATTCAAATCTAAGTTGTTTCATTTATTCAGTTTTAAGTGCCAGCTTAAATAGATTTTATTTAAAATGATGAAAATCTGTCAAGAAATTGGATACTTGACGATACCATCCTATTCTGACTCTCAACAAAAGTTCAATATCCTCAATATGAACATTTATTTTCTTTGCTTAGATGGTGTGTACACGTTGGCTGACATAGACTATATAAAATGTTATATCATCCTCACTATACACATTTTTTTCTGTAGATGGTGTGTAAAGCCCTGTACGATTACACGTCGGCTGACGTAGACGAAGTCTCGTTCCAGGAGGATGACCTAATTATCCAGTGTCAGCCAATCGATGAGGGCTGGATGGAGGGCACGGTCAAACGGACGGGACAGCGCGGAATGCTGCCCTCTAACTACGTGGAGCCTGTCAACTAGGCCAACCATTATTTAGGATTCAATTTATCAAAGTTATTATAAAAGTTGAATGTTATTTCTTAAATACTAGCTTTTATGATGTTACCTCCCTTTTATCTCTGTACATACTAGATATCTCTCTGTGTATATATATATACATTATTGCTGCTTTAGGTTTTATATTACACACTTGTTTTAAAGCAGTGTTCTTGTCAGACAGTTGTTTTCCCCCTCAGTTTTCCTCTATATTAATATAAGGAAAATATGCATGAACTGTTCACAGCTTTTATTTTTTCTTTGTTTTCTTTGTTCATTGTAAGATCGTGCAATTCCTGTAGAAATATTAGTTCTTTTCCTTAAATGAAAATTTTTTCAGCCTTTCTCCTTAAGCTTTGTAACATCGCCCAGGCATTTGTAAATGTCGTAAACCCAGCCCTAAATTATTTGTTCTATCATGCAATGAATCAGTATTAAATACAGTACAGAAGTGGACACAGCCATGCTGGAAAGAGTCTTATAAAAATCATGTGAATAGTCTTTTAATAAAATTCATGTGAATGATATTTGTACAAAGATATGACATATAGCATTATTCTAGGTTATTTTATACAGGGAGTTTGCAACTTGGTGCAATCTAAATAGGAACTCTTATCCTTGTTAAATCCTGGTGACTTTCATAAAGTATACAATGTTAATTATATGTGTACATTTTAATTTCCAATAACTGACACAATTGGTGAACTAAATATGATCGATTTTCTTTTGGGCATCCTCACATTTATGCATATACGTATAATACATGTAATATTTGAAAATTTAAGCTTTATTGCTTTGTAATTTGCTGGTAAATTATTTTAATAAAAACGCTGCCAGTTGTTGAACAAATTAAGAGCCAGCAGTTTAAATTGTTCTGTTGGGTTTAGTTACTGGAATGTTTATTGTATACTATGGTTCATCTTATCGCCATTTTTTGCACAATTTTTATCCAGCTAGCGTAACAGCAATTTTTTTTCTTCATATTTTTATCCTTGATCTGTAAAGCAACCAAAGACAATTTTTGAATTTTTAGATTTTGAAATTTGTAAAATTTTGGAAAATATGAAACTAAAAGTAAATATGATTTACTGTCTGTGTAGCAAATCAATTTTTTTTTTTCATATTAGCAGTTGCTGTTTTGGTCTTATGAGTAAACAAAAATCTGTCAATTTGTTACCAATACAATTAGAATCAGTTGTAATAGATTAAAAAAAAATATAAGTTGCTGTTTTGTTTAAAGTCACAGACAGTAAATTGAATCATGATACAAGTAATCAGATTTTTCTCTGTACAAGAAATAGATTGGCTTGGTTTCATACTGAATATTGATTAAAAGAGATATGTAGATATTTTAGTTGACTTGTGTTGGTCTGTCCTTTAGTATCATCTGAGTTCACTCCAGAAGTAAGGAATACATATTTTGTGGCATAATTCACACACAACATGGAATTTCCCTCTGTTGTCATTCACATTCATAAAGCAAAATTAAATCCATTAGATATTCTGTCCTATTAATTTTTTTGGGTGACAATGCGTAATATAGTAAAAGGCACATAACTTTTTATTTAGTCGGGTTCAAACATCCATGCTTGTCTACTAGAGTAAAAGAAATGATCGTTTGATTGGCATGAGGATCCAAGAGGAGTGTTTACTGTGGTAGATCTAGAGGTGTGGAGGGGTGTTACAGGTGTTTTCTTCTGTCGTCCTCGACCAATGTCAGATGGGGATACAGTCCTAGGGGACACAGTTTGTATAGGGCGTAATGCAGGATCTGGAAGAGGCAGAAATTTTTTCTGAATGTAAACACATTGCATTTTTTTACGGATATTGATATTGTAATTTTGGATGGAACAGATAAATTGCAATTACTTAATGAATTGAGGTGATCTTTATATTTTTAAAATTTATATTGACAAAACACAAGATAACTTGCAGTATTGCAATCTTTGCACAATTGTAATCAGAGAGGAATGAAACCAGGGACCGTGTATACTACACTAGTATATAGGTCCCTGATGAAACTAACAATTCAGTATACACTCTTAGGTTTGTTAATTGATCCTGTTGTTAAGGACTACTCAAGTGATATTTTTTTAATAGAGGAGGGGGGGGGGTCTATTTAATTGACACAACTTGCACAAATCCCGACTGTGATGACTTGATAGTCTTTAAAATAAGTAATGCAAAAGGTTAATTACAAGTTAGAATTACCCTTTGAAAAATTTCAAAATCACAAATTACCTGTATGATCATCTTCGTGGACCGGAGCGATGCCCACTGTTTTAGCTTGCTTGATTCGTTTCTTACATTTACAAAACGCTACACACGCAAACGTGGCCACAACGACAATGACACTGATGGCCACCATAAAGATAATCCCCAGCATCCAATCCCAGCGGCTGGACATGGTCACGTGGGGGAAGTGGCGGGAAGATGTCTCACCACAGCGCCATGTTGATAGAACTGTACAATCCAAAATATGAAATCTTTTGGGTGAAAGCGATTTTTTTTACATTAAAGTAAATGATTTAAGGGTGAATGGATATGCAATAAATGGACATACTAGTGCTTTAAGCCCTAGCATGCACTCCAGTGAAGAATGAGTTGATTTTTGGAATTCATTCTCTTCGATTCGACCCTCTTAAACGCTGCTCTTTGACCTGGTTATTATAAATAGGATATCCACTAAAATACAAATCTGCGTTCAGTTTGATAAGCGCTTTATGAGTTAATGTTTTACCTATATTTTATTAAGGACTACTGGAATTATTAACACTAATCTGAGAGATCCGCATGACATTAGTGTTATAGGGCAACTTATTAAATCCTGCTTGGACCTAATCGTGTATTGGTGACCTTTGATTAAATTTAAATTGACATGCTTTATTTAAATATTAACTATAGGTACTGTTAGCACTGAGTTCACTAAATGATACCCCGCCTCCTATATAATTATAAGGGCAAAGTCCATGTTTAATTTTGTTCTGGGAGACCCGAAATAAATGTCAGATCAAAAAGTAAAATAAGAGGTCACAATGGCATTATGAAATAAAAAATCTGTGAAAGTACCATTAAATTTTATTCAGTGTTATAGGAAGAGTTGCTGATAAGCGATGGGTACCCTTCAATATTACAGAAAAAATGGTAGTGTCCATGTTTTGCTATGGAAAATTCAACATATATACGTGTCGGATTAAAAAGTAAAATAGGGGGTCACAATGGCATCATTCTTATGTAACAAAGATTGTGTGAATGTCCAAATTTCATTCACTCTAATTTCGTAAGAGATGGGTATCGCGTAACAGTACGGATATCACTATATACTCTCCCACGTTTCAAAGGGGAAGGGGGGGGGGTATGGGGGGTATACGAGAAGTGAAAGTAACGGGTCTCGGAATAGACATGTAAAACCACGGTAAAGAATCATCACTTCTTAATGGCACTGTGCACCGAGTACAGGTCTAAATGCGAAGCCTTTCATCGGTATTTGGTGGTCGACGTTTCATATGAGTGAAAAATTATCCCGAGGAATATAAAACAACAAGCAATACACCGACGTGCAGAAACGTTAAAATCTGAACCTAAATTATGACATTATTCAATATATAATATTTCACAAACATGTCATGGCTCAAATTGTACAGTACACAAACTTTGTATTTGACTGCTACAGTGCACAAAATATGGTACGTACAATGTGTACAGGACACAAACTGTCTGGTACTTATTGTACAGGACACAAACTGTCTGGTACTTATTGTACAGGACACAAACTGTCTGGTACTTTTGTACAGGACACAAAGTGTCTGGCACTTATTGTACAGGACACAAACTGTCTGGTACTTATTGTACAGGATACAAACTGTCTGGTACTCATTGTACAGGACACAAACTGTCTGGTACTTATTGTACAGGACACAAACTGTCTGGTACTTATTGTACAGGACACAAACTGTCTGATAATCATTGTACAGGGCACAAACTGTCTGTTACTCATTGTACAGGACACAAACTGCCTGGTACTTCTTGTACAGGACACAAATTGTCTGGTACTTAGTGTACAGGACACAAACTGTCTAGAAGTCATTGTACAGGACACAAACTGTCTGGTACTCATTGTACAGGACACAAACTGTCTGGTACTTATTGTACAGGACACAAACTGTCTGGTACTTATTATACAGGACACAAACTGTCTGGTACTTATTGTACAGGACACAAACTGTCTGGTACTTATTGTACAGGACACAAACTGTCTGGTACTTATTGTACAGGACACAAACTGACTGGTACTCATTGTACAGGACACAAACTGTCTGATACTTATTGTACAGGGCACAAACTGTCTGTACTAAGTGGACAGGACACAAACTGTCTGGTACTTATTGCACAGGCCACAAACTGTCTGGTACTTATTGTACAGGCCACAAACTGTCTGGTACTTATTGTAGAAGGCACAAACTGTCTGGTACTTATTTTACAGGACACAAACTGTCTGGTACTTATTGTACAGGACCAAAACTGTGAGGTATTTATTGTAAAGGACACAAACTGTCTGGTACTCATTGTACAGGACACAAACTGTTTGCTGTACAGGACACAAACTGTCTGGTACTTATTGTACAGGACACAAACTGTCTGGTACTTATTGTACAGGACACAAACTGTCTGGCACTTATTGTACAGGACACAAACTGTCTGGTACTTATTGTACAGGACACAAACTGTCTGGTACTTATTGTACAGGACACAAACTGTCTTTGTATTCATTGTATAAGAGACAAACTGCCTGATACTTATTGTACAGGACACAACCGGGGTGTTTCTAATTGTATAGGACACAAACTGTCTTGTACTTGCTGTACAGGACACAAACTGTCTGATACTTATTGTACAGGGCACAAACTGTCTGGTACTCTGGTACTTATTGTACAGGACACAAACTGTCTTGGACACAGACTGTCTGGTACAGGACACAACCTGCCTGGTACTTATTGTAAAGGACACAAACTATCTGGTACTTATTTTACAGGATACAAACTGTCTGATACTTATTGTACAGGACACAAACTGTCTGGTACTTATTGTACAGGACACAAACTGTCTGGTACTTATTGTACAGGACACAAACTGTCTGGTACTTATTGTAGAGGACACAAACTGTCTGGTACTTATTGTACAGGACACAAACTGTCTGACAGGACACAAACGGTACTTATTGTAGAGGACACAAACTGTCTGGTACTTATTGTACAGGACACAAACTGTCTGGTACTCATCGAACAGGACACAAACTGTCTGGTACTTATTGTACAGGACACAAACTGTCTGGTACTTTTAATTGTACAGGACAAAAACTGTCTGGTACTTATTGTACGGGACACAGACTGTCTGGTACAGGACACAACCTGCCTGGTACTTATTGTAAAGGACACAAACTATCTGGTACTCATTTTACAGGATACAAACTGTCTGATACTTATTGTACAGGACACAAACTGTCTAGTACTTATTGTACAGGACACAAACTGTCTGGTTCTTATTGTACAGGACACAACCTGCCTAGTACTTATTGTACAGGACACAAACTGTCTGATGCTTATTGTACAGGACACAGACTGCCTGGTACTTATTGTACAGGACACAAACGGTCTAGTACGCATTGTACAGGACACAAACTGTCTGGTACTTGTTGTAGAGGACACAAAGTGTCTGGTACTCATTGTACAGGACACAAACTGTCTGGTACTTGTTGTACAGGACACAAACTGTCTTGTACTTATTTTACTGGACACGAACTGTCTTGTACTTATTTGTACAGGTCACAAACTGTCTGATACTTATTGTACAGGACACAAACTGTCTGGTACTTATTGTACAGGACACAAACTGTCTGGTACTTATTGTACAAGACACAAACTGTCTGGTACTTATTGTACAGGACACAAACTGTCTGGTACTTATTGTACAGGACACAAACTGTCTGGTACTTATTGTACAGGACACAAACTGTCTGGTACTTATTGTACAGGACACAAACTGTCTGGTACTTATTGTACAGGACACAAACTGTCTGGTACTTATTGTACAGGACACAAACTGTCTGGTACTTATTGTACAGGACACAAACTGTCTGGTACTTATTGTACAGGACACAAACTGTCTGGTACTTATTGTACAGGACACAAACTGTCTGGTACTACATTGTACAGGACAGGACACAAAACTGTCTGGTACTTATTGTACAGGACACAAACTGTCTGGTACTTATTGTACAGGACACAAACTGTCTGTACACAGGACACAAACTGTCTGGTTCTTATCGTACAGGACACAAACTGTCTGGTTCCTAATGTACAGGACACAAACTGTCTGGTACTTATTGTACAGGACAGAAACTGTCTGGTACTTATTGTACAGGACACAAACTGTATGATACTCATTGTACAGGACACAAACTGTCTGATACTCATTGCACAGGACACAAACTGTCTGGTACTCAAGGTACAGGACAAAAGCTGTCTGGTATTCATTGTACAGGTACTTCTTGTACAGGACACAAACTGTCTGGAACTTACTGTACAAGACACAAACTATCTGCTACTTATTGTACAGGACACAAACTGTCTGGTACTTATTGTACAGGACACAAACTGTCTGGTACTTATTGTACAGGACACAAACTGTCTGGTACTTATTGTACAGGACAAAAACTGTCTGGTACTTATTGTACAGGACACAAACTGTCTGGTACTTATTGTACAGGACACAAACTGTCTGGTACTTATTGTAGAGGACACAAACTGTCTGGTACTTATTGTACAGGACACAAACTTCTGGTACTCGTTTGACAGGACACAAACTGTCTGGTACTTATTGTACAGGACACAAACTGTCTGGTACTTATTGTACAGGACACAAACTGTCTGGTACTTATTGTGTCTGGTACTTATTGTACAGGACACAAACTGTCTGGTACTTATTGTACAGGACACAAACTGTCTGGTACTTATTGTACAGGACACAAACTGTCTGGTACTTATTGTACAGGACACAAACTGTCTGGTACTTATTGTACAGGACACAAACTGTCTGGTACTTATTGTACAGGACACAAACTGTCTGGTACTTATTGTACAGGACACAAACTGTCTGGTACTCATTGTACAGGACACAAACTGTCTGGTACTTATTGTACAGGACACAAACTGTCTGGTACTTATTGTACAGGACACAAACTGTCTGGTACTTATTGTAAAGGACACAAACTGTTTGGTACTTATTGTACAGGACACAAACTGTCTGGTACTCATCGAACAGGACACAAACTGTCTGGTACTTATTGTACAGGACACAAACTGTCTGGTACTCATTGTAAACGTCACAAACTGTCTGGTACTTGTTGTACAGGACACATACTGTCTCGTACTTACTAGTATTCTACAGGATACAAAC